AGTGGCCATGATATTTCTTTCCTGCCATAGCATCAGAACATACAGGAATAAAATAAATAAATAAATAAATAAATAAATAAATAAATAAATAAATAAATAAACCTATTGAAAAGCAAACAAAAAATCAGTATTAGGCATTTTTACACTGACTCTTAGAACGTGATATTGTTATTAGATTAGTGGAACAAAACATGAGCTCACAATAGACAATCGCTTTACTTGACTTAAATGAAACATTACAAGCACATTAGACATCTTTAGGAATATATGCTGTCCTCATAAAGTGTATCTTTCAGGATGAAACTAGGAAGGGACAGAGGGAGGAAGAGAAGGAATGAGGGAGGGAGGGACGAAGGGAGGGACGTAGGAACAGAGAGAGGGAAGGAGGGAGGGAGAGACGAAGGGAGGGACGTAGGGACGGAGGGAGGGAAAGAGGGAGGGATGAAGAGAGGGAAGAGACCACAGCCTATATACATCCCAGGCTTCAAGAACCAACAAGTAGCAGAATGTGGTGGCATAAACCACCTTCAATTCCAGGCTTTAATCCTTGAACTCTGAGTTAGAAGCTAACCTGGTCTACACAGTGAGTTCCAGGACAGCTTTTATTTAGAAAGACCCTGTCTCAAAAAAACAAAACAAAACAAACAAATAGTATAAGTGAGTAAACTTCACCCTCTTTCTCTCTAATCCAATGATCTCAGGGCTGGCAACATGGTTCAGTGGGTAAGAGCACTGACTGCACCAAGACCCACAGAGAAGAGCTGGACACTCGCCAGCCTGCAGAGGAAAGGGAGACAGAAGGATGACGGCAACTTGTTGCCCATCAGTCCCGCTGAAGAAGAGCAAGCTCCATTTTCACTGACCAACCCTGTCAAGGGGGACAGCCTAAGTGCGGTAGAGCAGGGCACCCCAAATCTTCCTCTGACCTCTGTGCTCTCATCCACATACACACATTCATGTAACAGGCTCCCAGACTTTGGTTGGTCCCCAGACCTTAGCACTACTGACTCCATGATGGAAGTACCATTCAAGCCTTGGGACTTAGCATGCAGAGAGCCGCAAAAAAAAAAACAACCAAGACCTAGGCCATGGAAGTGCACAGTTCTGGGAAAGTCTCTAAGGTACCAACCTTGCTTTTTGGCTTCTGGAGTTCCGCTTCTGGGTAACTGTTCTTTGTTAACTGAAGTATGTTAACCCAGAATGTGGGTTTTGTACTTAAACCTCACCCTGAGAAAGGTTAAACTGGGATTCTGAACACAGTGTAATCGCTGGCCGGCTAATAGACGTTCTGTTGGCTTAAATCCATGTCTGAGCAATCTTCTCTGGTGGATACGCCACAGTCACACACAGAGGTATACAACACACAGCAAGAAGATTAATATTTAGACTTAAAAGGTGCTGGAAAGATGGTTCAAAAGTTACAGAGCGCACTGCTTTCATAGAGGACCTGAGATCAGCTCCCAGTACCCATGTCAGGCAGCTCACATGCACTAGTTCGCTTCCAAGAGACCTGATTCTTCTGACTGCCAGAGACACACACACAAAATAATAAATAACAATAATAAATCTTTAAATAAGGTTATGATGAATATCGTGTGTGTGTGTGTGTGTACACATATTTCTGGTAGGTAGGTAATCTAAGATATTTACTTAGAAGACAGACTCCTGGATCATACAATATTTTTTTATATTTTAAGATCCATATAATTTTATGTTTATGTATATGTCTATGCACCCTGTGTCTACACGTGACTGCAGAGGTAAGAAGAGGACATCAAATCTCTGGGAGTTCACCCAGGTCCTCTGCAAGACGCTCTAAGCCTCTGAGCCATTGCTTCAGTGTTCTTTAAAACTTATTGAAGAACTACACATGTTTTTTGCAGTTCTTTTTTGCACACTTCACCAGTATTTTCTTTACTATGTGTATGTCTACATATGTGTGTGAACACATGCCAGCACAGGAGTGGAACTCAGGGGACAAGCTATAGGACCAGGTTCTCACCTTCCATCATGTAGGCTTCAGGGATTGAGCTCAAGTGCTCAGGCTTGGTGGCAAGCACTTTTATCTACTGAGCCATCTTGCCAGCCTAACACTTGCTCATTTTTATTTATATATTTGTGTGTGTGTTTGTGTGTGTGTGTGTGTTTGCCTTAGTTAGGGTTTCTATTGCTGCGACAAAACATAATGACCAAAGAGCAAACTGGGGAGGAAAGGGTTTATTTATGTGGCTTACACTTCCATACCACTGTTCATCATCAAAGGAATCAGGACAGGAACTCCAATAGGAATGGAACCAGGAGAATAGGCAGGAGCTGAGGCAGAAGCCATGGAGAAGTGCTCTTTACTGGCTTGCTTCCCCTGGCTTGCTCAGGCCACCTTCTTATAGAAGAACCCAGGCCCACAGCCCAGTGATGGTACCATTCACAATGGGCTGGGCCCTTCCCCACTGATCACTAAATGAGAAAATGCCTTACAGCTGGGTCTCATGGAAGCATTTCCTCAGAGAGATTCCTTTCTCTCTGAAGATTCAAGCTGACAAAGGGGAGGGGAGGGGGGGGGGGGGGAGGGGAGGGGAGAGAAGAGACGAGAAAAGAGAAAAGACAGCCAGTCCAATGTCCATAGCACACACATGGCCAGAAGAAAACTTAGAAGAGTTATCTTCTCCTACACTGCTGGTCTTGAAGACCAGTGTCAGCCCATCAGGCTTCACGGCAAGCACTTGCCTGCTGAGCCATCTCACTGGCCTTTCTGGCTTTTTTATACTAGTCATGCTTTACGTCCATGCAGTAAGAAGATGTTTTCTCCTTTTCATAATGCCTTGAGTGCGGGAACACTGGACAGAGGAGTTACATTAAACACAGAGATTAAATGTGAGCCAATTTCAATGTTTAAATCCCAGTTCTTAAAGTTTAAGCCCCTCAACAGGATGGAAGCAGGGCTCTGTGCATGGAAAGCTGGGTTGAAGTTTGAGGCACTGTTCTTGACAAAATCTCAGTCATTTGATTTTACCGATAGACTTGGAGTCAAAGCCTGCTAGCTCACAGAGGCAGAGAAGCACCCAGCTGCTCCTCCTCCCACACCATCTCAAACTCCTCAAACTGAATGTCCCTCCCTTCTACTTCCTGGGCATCTCTCTAACCATCCTGACCCCCTCTTACTCTCTATGGTTTTTTCTTAATAATTCTATCTTCACTTCCTGTTGCTTGTTCCACCTCTTGACCTATCGTTGACTTGATTTAATCCTGTTTACAATATTCAAGCAGAAAGCTCTTGGATTAAAGATGTGCGCTAGGGCTGAGCCATACAACTAGAAACAGGTTTTTCCAATAAATAATCTCAGCTTTCACAGTATGATCAAATATCCTGCAACAAGAACAAGGACATGTGTGGTTGACCAACAGAGGAAACCCAGCACAAAAGGTGCATGATTTTACCAAACCTTGAGATTATACAGGGTCCTTTAAAAGCTGCCAGACACCAACTCTGCTACAGGCTAAACTCCTAACCTCTGGGAAAACCTTCGGTTTGTCTTCAAGTTCAGCAGCTGAGACAGTGAGTCCCCTAGTGTACCACTCTCATGAGGGGGTCACATTCCATACCAACACATCACTTGGGTACACGTAGGTATTTAGAATCAGTTCAAAACCATGTACCCTGGGTCCTTAGACCATGTTTCAAGGCAGATTATTTTACTGTTTCCTTGAATGATAAGAAGAATTCCTTATACTTTTTTGTATGTGATCCCCCTTACTAGTAATTTGCAATTTTCCCATTATGTTGTCTTCTTTGCTGAGTGTTTCTAACACTACACAGAAACTTTCCGTATTTGCTTTTTGGACTCGCTATGTAGCCAAGATGATGAACTTCTGGTTCTCTTGCTCCGGTTTCCACAAGTGCTGGGATCACAGGCATGCACCAGCATGCCCAGTGTCACGTGGTGCTGAGGCCTGAACCCAGGCTCTGTGCACACTCAGAAGTACCTATCACCTGAGCTACTTCTGTGTCTGTGCTTCTTATGCCATATCCAAAGTATCATTGGTACTGTGACCATCAAGGCCCTTTTCTGTATTCCTCTAGTTGAGTGGTCCTGGACAGTAAGTATTAAAGGGGAGGGGTTGAATGATAAATGTCTGCCATAATCCTGTTTCTTAAAAGGAGTGACAAGTGCATGTGCCCTCTTATTACTGGCCCTTTTGTCCTAGGCCCGTTAAATTACAAAGATAAACAGGGCTGGAAATGTATCTAAGCAGCAAATCGCTTGCCTAGCACGCACAAAGCCCTGGGTTTAATTCCTACCACTGGTAGAGAGATAGGACATAAACCAAAAGATGAAAAAAACCTTTTTTTCATATCTTTAATTATCATTATTGCACCAATACAGCATACGTTTTATATACATATATATTCAACTTCATTTTCAATTTTCAGCAATTCAAATACATAATATATTATCATCTTAAGAATACAAATAACACAAAATGGAGGAAGATTGAGAAAATAGGATTCCCAATAGTCACTATATTTTCTATGTTTTCCTCTTAGTGTTCTTATTGGAACCTTAAGTATCCTGCCATTGCTCTGCACAGAGAGAGCTGCCTGGAAAGGGGACGGCAATGCGAACAAATGGACCCCAAGTCTGAAAAAGCTAAGAAAAATATCCGGAGGAAATAATGTGTTTGAGATTAAATATAAGAATCCTCTTCAGCCAGAATGTACATATCCAAACTGGTGCTCCCAGAAGGTAAATCCTCCCATTCCATCCGCATCCTCAAACTGCCCAGCACACAAAACGGACAGTACCCACTGACCTGAACAGGACCCTCTTCACAGTATTGTAAAAGGAATGGTGGGCAGAGGATGGGGAAGTGATAGGACAGAAACTTGCTTTAAGATATCCTAGCTGGGTATCAAAGTCTGGGGCTAAGGCTGTCACAGATAAAGCTGTGGCGCAGCCTCCTTCACACTGACAATTATCTAATAGCAGCTTTCCATGGCCCAGCTAAATGGACTAAAGGAAATGTTTATGACAAGGCTCCAGACCAGGCAGCAAGGCATGTGGTACTGCATGAGAGCTAAGTGCTTCCGCTTCTCTGCTCCACACATCAAGTTAAAACGCTTACCTTAGGTCAAACACAGGTGAATAAAAATTAATGCTATGCTTCAAATGCAGCAGAAACACGTCTGCGGACTACAACTCGGAAAGCACAGTCTTCATTTCCTTCATCTCAGAAATAGCCACCGTCAAAGATGCTGCACTATTCAACACGCAGAAAACCGTGGGGTGCCACCAACCCGAGCCTCTCATCAAAGGAAAAGATGTAAACACACAAGGCGGTGGTGCTGTGGCTCACCGGATGCTCACTGAATAGGGTAAGCCTGAAGGAGGCCTTACAGAAGAAGAGAGCAGGGATACGGCTTTCTCCAAATCTACCCTCATGAAAATCCTAACGTGGTAAGTATGGAGGCCAGTCTGCCCATTTATAGTCTCAGGTTATGGGAAAGACAGTTACAAGGCATTGTCTCTCCTGAAATTGCTAACTAGGGCATCACAAACAGATACACAGGAATAATGAGATGATTCTGAAATAAGTTCAAGAATTTACATATGTCAGAGGTCACTCTCACAGGTGGCTTTCTGAACTCTGCACAGTCGGTCAGTGTGATCATTTCCACTACTCCCCTGTCTCGGATGTGAGCAGGAAACAGCAGGTGGTCTCCTGGCTTATACAGCAAGTAACACAGAGGTAACAAAATAATCCAGCCTGAAAGCAACAGAGAAGCTATGGAAAAAGATTGTCCACTGATTTTGGTTCTGGGAAATGAAGCGGTCCCTCAGCTCCTTCATAGAACGGTGCCCTCGAGGTCATTTATTCTTCAAGTGTGTCCTTAACATCTTGCCAATAACACTCAAAACTGGACCCAGTTGGACGGCTGTGGCGCCTGGTTCGGAACAGAGCTGCAGGACAGGGGAGGAGACAGAAGCCACAGCAGCACGTCAGTATGAGGGGCCAGTCACTTCCGAGTTGCCAAGACACTGCTCTGCACATCAACTCCACTTCCCAAGTTCCTCCCGGGAACTCGCACTGAAACCCACATGATGGCAGCTGCTTCCCTGACTACACATTCCTCTACAAGATGATTCTCAACCTGTGCGTCACGACCCCTGTGGGGCTGAACAACCCTTTCACAGGGGTCACATAGCAGATGTTTACATATGCTTCCTAACAGTAGCAAAGTTACAGTTATGAAGTAGCAATGAAAATAATTTTATGGTTGGGGGTCACCACAACCTGAGGAACTGTATTAAAGGGACACAGCATTAGGAAGGTTGAGAACCACTGGCCTACACCCTAAGGGAGAGGCTATTGGGTGCACTGTGCCCGTTACCTGGATGCAGTGCTGAAGTCTCCCCACAAGTCACTGCTTGCAGAAACTGGCACTGGTGCTGAAGTCGTGACAGGAGCAGGGGAATCCAAATCTAAAAGAATATCTAAACAGAAGGAGTGGTTTAATCATATGTTCACAGGGAAACCCACACCCGAATGATAGCTGAACGGGGGGGGGGGGGGGATGTTACAGAGAGACCTACACCCAAAGGTCACAGCAACTTTTTTTTATAATCGCTCACACTGGAGATGGCTAAAAACACTGCAGTAAAAACATTCTCAGCAATAAAAAGGAAAAAACTCAACATGTAGGACAACCTGGGGTGTATCTCTAGAGACTCACACACACTAAGTGAAAATAGCCAATTCCCAAAAGTTTACATACTGTATGATTCCACTTAGCTAACACTCCTAAAGCAGTAACTTTATATAAACACAAAGCAGATGAGAGATTGCCAATAGTCAGAGATGGGAGAAGGAAGGCTCACAGGGATATGGTTATAAAAGGGTGACACCAAAGATCCTTACAGTGAGGGTAGAGAAATGGCTCATTGGTTAAGAGTACTCTCTCTCACATAAGTGTTGCTCTTCCAAAGGACCCAAGTTCTATTCCCAGCCCCAGAGATGGCTCACATCTATCTCTAACTCCAGCTCCAGGGGCCCAATGCCTCTTAGGCACCTGCACTCACATTAAAAATAATAAATTTTAGCTGGATGGTGGTGACACACACCTTTAATCCCAGCACTCAGGAGGCAGCAGGAGAATTTCTGAGTTAGAGGCCAGACTGGTCTACAGAGTGAGTTTCAGGACAACCAGGGCTACACAGAGAAACCTCATCTCAAAAATTAAAAAAAAAAAAACCCTAATATTAATAAACCTTTTAAAGTAAAAGACAGAAAGTGATATAGACTTGTTCTGCAGCCTGACCATCACAACGGATCCATGAACCTATACAGGGCAAAGCTGCACAAGACCAAAGGTACCTACCTATGCACACATGCACACAGAATGAGAAACTTGCATAAGATTAGAAGATAATGTCAATTTCCTGATTGACAGTCAAAGAAAGTTTTATAAGATGACATTGGTAAGGAATACTGAACAAAGAGCACACAAGATTCTTTTATTTCTTTCTCTTTTTTTTAATTTGAGACCAAGTCCCAATAGCCCAGGCTGACATGGAAGTTATGTCATTCCGAATCATAGAACTGTTTCCACCTCCAAAGGGCTGGGATTTGAGGTGTGTACCACACCTACTTCCTTTCATTATTTCTTATAAGTGTGTATGAATCTCTAATTCTCAAAATAAAGTCTCATTAAAAAACTAATCTTCAGCTTTATGTCACAAGTTTTAAGCTATTTCATTTACATTTCCTCCTTTGATGACTACGTTGATCCCCGCACTTGGGAGGAAGAGGCAGGCAGATCTCTGAGTTTGAGGATAGCTTGGTCTACAGAGTGACCAGGACATCAGGACTTACACAGAGATCCTGTCTTGAGAAGCCAAAAAAGAAAAAGAAAAAAGGAAAACAAACAAACAAAAAAAAAAAAACCAAACAGGATAATTGGATTACTGCCTTACTCAATAAGTTATTTTCAGAGTTATATTAGATTTACCTGCATCACTACCTCCATGGTTAGCTTTTGGAATAGGTGGTGGGGTGACATGGTTGCTGATGGCAACAGAGGATGGTGGGGGAATAGTGATTTTGCCTCCAGGTGGAGGTGGGAGTAAGCTCAGTCCTCCAGTCCCTGTGGCCCGGGGCTTAGAAGCACCTCCTTTCTTGGTTGTAATGTTCTGAAAGAAAGGGAGAAAGAGAGAGAGAGAGAGAGAGAGAGAGAGAGAGAGAGAGAGAGATCACTGACCTAAAGAATAATAGGAAAATAATTTTAAAAACAAAGCTGATACTCAGTCAGCAGACCACCTCAGTCCCAGCACTCTGGTAACAAAAGCAGGCGAATATGTGAATTCAAGGCTAGCCTGATCTACACAGCATGTTTCAGGCCAACCAGGGCAATACAGTGATACTTTGTCTCCCAAAAGAAAACAGGGGTTGGAGAGATGGCTCAGCAGTAAACAACACTGGCTGTTATTCCAGAAGACACAGGTTTGAATCCCAGCACCACCACAGCACCCAGAGCAGCCATCTGTAACTACAGTTCAGAGGATCAACACCCTCTTCTGGGCTATGATGCATGAACATATATGCAGGAAAACACCATATGCATAAAATAAAAATAAAGAAATCACACTTACCCCAATACTCAACTTGATGGTCTGTCCTTCCTTGAAGCCTAAATCCAACTTGGGACGATTATCCATCTCCTGAGATTCTTTGGAAATCTCAGTTTCCTGCTTTACCCACCTTTGAGGAAATAATTTATCTCAGTTTGGAATTCCCTGAAGCAGAATCTGACATAAATCTGACTCTATCTCACTCAGATGAACTAGAATTCCAAAGTGGGGACCCATAAGACATGAGAGAGAAAAAGGAAAAAATATCCCAGAGAGGCCAGCTGGGTTCAGACTGAAGAGCGATACGGAATGCATGGTAGGTGCAGCTCTCCCAGCAGCTCCAGCCCTGCGGCAGGACACTGCCCCACAGGACATGTGTGCTACCATGTTCTTACAGGTTCCATCTCTGGGCATTAAATTCCAGAGTCCTGAGCAATAAAGAGAGCCACCCTGTCCTAGAGATGGGGAGTGATGTGGCGCTCGGTGCTGCTCACTGCAGCTATGCCAAACTCAGCTGGGCTGAAGAAACACAGGCAGAGCACATCGGCTGTGAACTGACAGAACTGGCACACCTATTCATGCACAGGCACACTGCTGCTGTGTGCCACCCCCCCACACACACATACACTTTCTAAAAGCAAGTGCAAACTCCCCACGATTATGAACGAGCATCAACACAAACCACCGCACAAGGATCCAAGATATATTACAGGCCGCACGGAAAGACGGGAACAAGCACAGGGGAAAAGGTAAAGACAGACAAGAGAAACCCCACTCAGCAGCAGTACCCAGCGCCCCGTGCCCCATATTTATTTACCCTGAAATCTAAGGACAAGCTTCACTTACTTGAAGTGATCTTGCAGCGAAACGTTAAAGTCGAAGGCGTCCCCCCGGTCTGTGAAACCAATGCCAATGAACGCACTTCGGCCTGTGAAAAGGAGCAATTTCAGAATACGTGTTCCTTATGGCGACTTCTGCCGATCATGTCACATGAACTGCTAAAATCTGCTCGGCGATAACATGCAGCCGAAAGGTAAGACTTTTACAGCATGAGCCTGAACAAGAAGTTAACAGAAATACAGCCACATCGACCCGGACAGATGTGTCTGCGGCTACTTCACCCTGCAACCACCAAACAGGGAGCAGCAGTTACAGCTTGACCCACAAAGCCAAAAGTATGTATTGTCTTTGATTACCAACCTATTAAAAAATATGAAGGGACTGGGCGTGGTGAGTGGTACATGTATTTAAGCCCAGCAAAGGTGGGCCAATCTCTCAGTTTAAGGCCAGTCTGGCATACACTGCAAGATCAAGGCTAGCCAGGACTACAACATGGTTACTCTATCAAAATAAATAAATATATAAGCGAGTGAGTAAGTGAATAAATAAATATAAATGGCTGAGAACTACTGCCCTTCAAATGGATAATCCAAGATAACCCCATCTAGAGCCACCACAACAATTATAACATGTTCTCTATTGCTAAATAAGTGTTGTGATTAATTTAACTTAAACTCAATTGAACTGATGTTCACATCTATACAATGTTAGTCTTTCCTCTGATAACCACAGTAACTCTGATGAGGGAAGACAAGGTACCAAAGGACGAGAGCTGTAACGGGACACAATTTTATTAGCGTGCACTCATGATTTCCTGGCCTTACCCCACTGAAAACCCCAGCTCCCTTACCAGTACCATCCTGGATCCTGATCACAAAGTAGCGGCTGGAGTCTGTTACTGTCTCCACAGCAATACCAGGGTACTGTTCTACTGGTGCCTGAGCGAAGAGCTCCCCTAACAGCAAGAAAGAGAGCTCCTTGAGCAGCAGAAGAAATGCTAACTCCAATTAACCGGTGTTTTCCATGCCAGTCCCGATTTGCGGGTGACAAAAGCACAGCAGCCCAGCACTCCCATGTTTGAGGGCGCCTGGTGCTTACCTGAAACTTTATCTTCCAGTTTGATGTAAGCGATCTTCCCTTTTGAAGTGATTCGGAGGCGACCAGTCCAATCAGGCTGGTCTAACTTCCAGTCAGACGCCCTATGAAAGGAAAAAGGCAATTCTTTGTTTTGTTTTGCTATTGTTTTTTTAGTTCTCGAGAGAGTTTCCTGTGTAGCCCTGGCTGTTCTGGAACTCACTCTGTAGACCAGGCTGGCCTTGAATTCAGAAACCCACCTGCCTCTGCCTCTTGGATGCTGGGGTTTCACTGTTTTCCTGTGCTAGAGGCCTGTTCTTTCTGTCAATTAAATAATCATGAGAAATGACTCAAACTCCCTTTAACCTGAGGCCTCATGTTCTACTGTCTAATGCGGGCCTGGTGGTACAGGCCTTTAATCTCAACACTAGGGAGGTAGAAACAGGTGAATCTCTGTGAGTTCAAAAACAGACTGGTCTACAAATCAATTTCCAGGATAGCCAGGGCTATTCCACAGAGAAACCCTGTGGCAGTTTGAATGTAACTGGCCCCCATAATCTCAGAGGGAGTGACACTATTAAGAGAAATAGCTTTGTTGAACTGGGTATGGCCTTGTTGGAGAAAGTATGTTACTGTAGGGGCAGGCATTGAGGTGTCCTATATTCAGGATACCACCAGTGTCTCAGTCAACTTCCTGCTACCTGTAAGATGTAGGACTCTCAGCTCCCTCTCCAGTAACCAGGTCTACCTGGTGCTGTCGCGCTCCCCACCACAATGATAATGGACTAAACCTCTGAAACTGTAAGCAACACACCTCAATTAAATGTTTTCTTTACAAGAGTTGCCATGGTCATGGTGTCTCTTCATAGCAATATAAACCCTAACTAAGGCAGGAGTTGGCACCACAGACTGGGGTACTGCTGTGATTGGCCTGACTCTGGTACTTTGGGTTTGGAAAGCAGTGGAATGCCTTAAATAAGCACTGCTCAATGAACCATATTAATAGAGGCATGGAAGACAGAGGTCCCAAGAGTGATCTCAACTGTCGGAGGCTCACTCAAGAGGTTTCAGAGGAGAATTTTAGCATGTTGCCTAGAGAAAGCTTTTGTGTTATTTTGGTGAAGAAAGTTGCTGCCTTTTGCCCTTGTCCAAAGAATCTGCCTGAGGCTAAAGTGAAGTTTTGGATTAATTCCACTGACAGAAGAAATCTCAAAACAGCCTCGTATAGACTCTGTTGTGTGGTTACTAGTTTTCATGCTTATAAAAATCTATAATGAAAAGAAGCAAGCTGACCAGGGTAAATAATAAAACATAAATTTTGAGGCAAAAAAGAGCCCCAGGAAGTAGAATGGAGCTAAGTTTTGTGTTCAAGGAGATAAACGGATTAAAAAATGCAATATAGGCATGGTGACCTCAGGGCACGATCCCACCCAGCTAAATTTTCAGCTCGTGAAATGGAACCGAAGAAAAGCTTAGAGCCAGGTGTGGTGGGAAACACGTTTAAACCCAACACTAGAAAGGCAGAGGCTGGCAGATCTCTGAGTCTGAGCGAGTTTCAAGACAGTCATGCTTAGTGAAGGACAGAAAAGAAAGCAGAACTTGGCAACTTCAGCCTTGTGGTTCTGGAGTTAAAGACAGAAGAACAGGGCCATGGAATTTGCCTCCATGCCTAAGGAAAGCCACTTAGGCCAGGACTGTGTGAGGGGCGTCAGTGAATGGAGGCCTAGTAAAGAGCTATTACATGAAGCTGTGAAGTTGAAGTCTGGATTGCCCTAGAGAACCCAAGATGAGAGATGGAAGAGTCACGGGACACCTGCCGAGGAAAGCTGCTAACAGGAGCTGGAGCCAGCCCAAGAGAATGAAGTGTGTTGCAATCAACAATGCTGAACTGAGTTGGAGATCTGAAGAACATTTTGAGCATTTTGACATCAGACAGAGAAATGCAGAGTCTGGAATCTGCCCAGCTGGTTTCCAGTCTTGCTTTGGTCCTCACTATGAGACTCTTAATTTGATCCCCAACACCAGAATGAATAGATAGATAGATAGATAGATATAAATAAGCAAACAAACAAATAAAAATTAAGCTGGATTTCAAGGTGTATGGTTTTAATCCCAGTCCTCAAAAGCAGAGGCAGGCAGACCTCTGTGATTCAGGGCTACCCTATTCTACATAGTAAGCCCATCTCAAAAAAAAAAACAAAAAAATTCTAAAACTACAATTTCTCCTATGAAGCTACTCTCCTACCTAGAGATGACTTTCTATCCAATGATGCTTCATTACTCAGGGAATAAAGTCCATCTGCTAGATGAAATAGTCTGGGTAACAGAAGTTTCCGAAATCACTAACCATATAATATCTTTCATTGATTTCAACCAGTGTTTACATGGTACTTACTAAGTGGGAGGCACTATATAACAGCAGGATATAACAGCAAACAAACCTTCCCTCAGAAAGTTTGCATTCAAACAGAAGGCAAACAACAAAAAGGAAACATAATAAATAATACTATCAGTATCTTAGGTTAAGGTGAGAAAGAAACGTAGAGGCAGCTAAGAAGGTCTAGGAGGACAATGGGGGACAGGATTCAAGAGCGTGACCAGGAAGCTGAGAACAAAGCTCAGTGGTCAAGTGCTTGTTTAGTATGCACCAAGTCCTGGGTTCAACTCCCAACAACACCAAAAAGGAGGAGTCCAGGTAGCCTCACCAAGAAGGTTCAATGTTGGGCAGAAACATGGACTAAAAGGTGGCACATAGGTCATGGAGACAACCACCTGCTTTTAGACTGGATCTGAGGCCGGCTCCATAGCAAGGAATTCAGGCCTGACACTGTAAGCCTGGTTCAAAGCCTGCGGCTCAGGAGACACTTAAAAAAGGTAGGACAGGTGAAGGTTCCCTTTGGGTGCCTGAGGGGAAACACTGTAGGCACAGAGCTCCTGCAAAGGTGCTGAAAGGTGAAAGTATGCTTGCTGGGTGAAGAAAAAGAAAGCCAGACCATACAGGACCTTGCAAGCCATCAGAAGCACTGCAGCTCTTACACTGAGTGAAAATTAGCTGGTCCAGGTTCTAGACAGATATGTGACCCAGTCCTGGGATCCTACAGGGATTACTTTGTCTGCTGTGAGAAAGAGATGTGGGGCTGTGACGGCTGAATCAGGCGATTAGTTAAGAATGCTGCAGTGAGTCAGAGAGGGCCTGGGAGAGTCAGAGAAGGGAGCTGAAGCCACCAACTATAAAGTAAAGGCAGTAGCAGTTTCTGAAGCTAACGTTAGGTCAAGGAGAACTCCAAACTGTTCAGCCTAAACAAACAGGCGACACTGACTAAAATAAGGAAGGCTATTTGTGGACTCTGTCTGGGCTGATGGAGTTTGCATTTTCAGTAGGCTTCATTGAGATGTCTAGGAGTAGACAGCTGAGTGTATGAGAGCACAGCTCAGGAAAGACATCTGCAATGTAAATACCACTGTTTACCAACCATCTGAAAACCCAAGCGACACTTGTTATCCGTGTTTATATGCACCTGAGTAAAATCTAACATATTACTTATAACCAAGACTACAAAACACTAAATTTAGATGTTTTGTTAAGGGTGCGGAAAAGGGGAAAATACGTTAATAATTTATCTCTTATGAACCCAAAGACTGGAAAGGATGGTGTGCTGCTTAAAGTCCTTCAGGAATTAAAAGCAGGAATAGTGTGACTTCAAGGGAAACCTCAGCAATACAAGAGTGTGAGGCCTGCCTGAGCTACAAAATTAAAGCCCTGTCTCAAAACAAGAACAAAAGACAGAACACCATCTATCTGAACAAGAGAAAGTTTAGTAAGACAGTAACTTAAAAGGAAAACTTAACAAAAACCAGAGGATTATCACTGCAACGTTTGGGACCAAATCCAGGATTAAGTATGTTAGGTAAGAGCTCCATCATGCGACCCCATCTCATCAGAGCTGAGCAGGACTGTAAGGTCAGCCCTGTCATCCCCTCCTCGATGCTCTATCTTCAAAGATTGTTAAGTACCAGAATCTGATCCAGATTAGAACATCCTACAAGTCCTAATGGATTCACTTTTTTTTTAAATTATATTTGCTTGCTTTCTTGTTTGTTTGTCTGGGGTGGAGGTATATGCATGCCATGAAATGCAGTGGAAGTTAGATGACAATTTACATGACTCTTCTCGCCTCTTGTCATGTGGGTCCCAGGAATCAGACTGGGGTCATCAGGCTTGCCAACGAGCACCTTTACCCACTGAGTTATATTGCTTGCTCCTATTAATTTTTTTAATAAATCATTATTTATTGCAGTCATACCACTGACAGACATAAAATAAATGGGAAATATTAGGAACAAGCATATTAGATGTATTTCTTTGGACAGGAACCTTGTAATTTTATCTTGTTTATATAGTACCTTTAAATAGTTAACAAATTCTCAATAAATAAATAGATACATGCCAGCAATTTTCTTCATCTTTGATCCTTAATTCCTCTCCCTCTCCAAAACCAAGACTAAAGAATTCTTGGTTCTGCTGGTCTCCTAACGATACTATATGCAAACCTCATAGGCCAGGTGTGGATAAAAGCCTGAAGTCCCACCAACTGGGAAGCAGAGGCAGGTAAATCTCTGGAAGTTTGGAGCCAGAGGGTTTCACTGGGACATCCTATGTAAAACATAAATAAAACTAATCTCACAGTTTTTCATTTACCTTAGCAATCAAAATTTATAAAGGAGAGGGAATGAAGAAAGGTAATAGCCATCACACATCTACTCCATGCCATTACATACATTACATGCATACATTACACACATTCTTATGACAACCAGGTGAGCATATCTTGCATGCTAAGTATCAGTATGTTCATTTTCAAAGTTCAAGATGTGACTTTCCCACAAAATAAAGTTAAACTTATTTTGTTTTGTGGTGGTTTTTGGGGGTGAGGGGTGTAAAAAGTTTGGGTTTTTTTTTTTCTTTATGTACAGGTGACTGTGATGGTCAGGTTTCAGACCCCCTGAACCGGAGTTACAAGTAGTTTTGAGCCTCCCACTGTATGTGCTGGGAACTGAACCTAGGCCCTCTACAAAGAACAGAAAACTCTTAAGCACTGAGTCTTTTTCTCTAGACCTGTTTTGTTTTTGTTTCAGATTTTAAGACAGAACCTCCAGTAGCCAAGGACAGCCTTAAACTCCTGATCCATGTGCCTCCACCCCTCAAGGGCTGGGATTACAGATGTGTACCACCACTCCCAGCTTCGAATTTCATTTTTCTCTTTTCAGTCACTGTTCTGTAAGAGTAAGTAATGAGGCCAGGCGGTGGGGGTGCACACCTTCAATCCCAGCACTTGGAAGGCAGAGGCTGTCGGATCTCTGTGAGTTCAAGGTCAGCCTGGTCCACAAGAGCTAGTTCCAGGACAGGCCCCAAAAGGTACAGAGAAACCCTGTCTCGAAAAATAAAACAAAACAAAGAAAAAGAGTAAACAATGATAGAACGTTTAGATAATAAGAAATGTCAAAATATGCATAGGAAACAGAAAGATAAAGGGGAAAAAGAAAAATTAAGAAATGGCTTTGATGGGACAATGTAGTGGCCTGATGAGAGGATAAAGACTGTGACTAAACTAGGAAGTAAAGAAGACTATAGAAGAGGGCAGGGGCTGGGGGGTGGGGGCTGGGAGCGGGGCAGGGGGGGCTGGGAGCAGGGTCGGGGGCTGAGGGCCAGAGGGGGTGCTGGTGGCAGGGAGTGGGGACAGGGGATGGGGGCAGGAGATAGGGGCAGGGGAGTGTAAAAGACTTTACGTAAAAGGAAAATAGAGGACTTCAATGAATGATACCATTCTGGAAGTCTTAACCCCTAAAGAAGTCACGAGATAGTTTACTTAGTAGTACAGCCATTGTTAGCTTATGTGATTGGGTTGGTTACATACTCCCAATTTCTTCTTTTTTAATGTACTATCCATGTGTGTATGGTGTTGCATGTGTGTGGCACAGGCATGCCACAGCACATTTGTGGCAGTCAGAAGTCTGTGAAGTTACTTCTCTCCTTCTCCCTTTACCTGGATTGGGGGGAATCAAACTCGGGCTTTCAGCTGGTACAGTAAGGGCCTGCTAAGATGACCCCCAATTTCTTCTTTCAGTAAGCATCTCCTGAGTACTCACTATGTGCCAGACACTGTGCTGGTCCTGCTAGCGCACACAGATACAATGTTTAACAGTCTTCAAGCTGGAGAACAGGAAACGAAACCAGCCATTAGAGCAGTGATGGAAGCAAGCCTCAAGTGCCGTGGACATTCACACAGAGCTGCCCTAAATCAAAATGGGTCAGGTAGAGCATCTCACAGATGGCGATGTGTACGATGGGGTCATGAAATAGTACCTGTGACTACCATCAAGAAGCATGCTGAGTTTCATTCATAGTCAATGCCAAGTCTCAGTGATGGCGCCTTGAAAACTACCTCTGCCAAAGGATACAACCCATGGGCCCGTTGCATAGGTCTGCAAACACAAGTACCGAATAATGATGAATGAACCTCTGAGGAAGAAGCAAATGGAGCTGTGGAGAAGATAACTTTCCAGTAAAGGTAATGACAACACCAAGAGAAAAGCCATGACGGTGTGTCAGCAAGAAAGAGAGAGAGAGAGAGAGAGAGAGAGAGAGAGAGGAAAAAAGGGAGGGAAGGAAGAAGGGAGGGAGGGAAGGAGAGAGGGAGGGAGAAACAAACTCTGTGAGGGAGCTGGAGAATGGCTCAGTGGTTAAGAACACTGTTGCTCTTGCTCTGGCAATCAGGGTTCAGTTGCCAGCACCCATTTAGTGACTCATAAACATCCATGACTCCAGTTCCAGGAAATCAGATGCAATCTTTTGACCTCCATGAGTACAAGATATATACATACAGGCAAAACACCTATACACATATATAAAATAAACAAATACATTATTAAAGAAACAAAACCCTGGGACTGGAGAGATGGCTCAGTGGTTAAGAGCATTTCCTGCTCTTCCAAAGGTCCTGAGTTCAATTCCCAGCAACCACATGGTTGGAGTCTGGTGCCCTCTTCTGGCCTGCAGGCATACACACGGACAGAATATTGTGTGTGTGTGTGTATGAAAACCCAAAAAAACTTTACAAAAAAAAAAAAAAAAAGAAGAAACAAAACCCTGTTGGTGGGCAGTGGTGCATGGCTTTAATCCCAGCACTTGGGAGGCAGAGGTAGACAGATGAGGTGAGGCCAGCCTGGTCTACAAAGGGAGCTGTAGGACAGCCAGGGCTACTCAGAGAAACCCTGTCTCAAAAAAACAAAACTGGAGAGAAAGAGAAATGAAAAAAGCACAGAAAAAGAAACAAAACCCTGGGAAGTACATACGTGCACAGCATATGTTACTTTTCCTACTTTACAAATGAGAGAACTAAGGCCTGGAGAAGTGAAGAGATTGGCTCATAAATCATGAAGCTATTTACCGTCCAGGGCACAGACTCAACAGTTTTCAGCAAAATCTCAATGAATTCTCTTTGAATCCCATTAGCATCCTACATCCTCAAACCCTCGGTCGCTGTATTACAGAGGTATTGGGCCCTATGAGGCAAAAATGCCTCGCTGACTCTGGAAAAGCTATAGGAGAGGTGACCAGGAGGAAGGCAGGCAGAAATCCCTACATAATCAAAAGTTATAGTGTGGACACACACACACACACACACACACACACACACACACAAAATGAAAAGAAACGCAATGGCTAATCATTGGAAAACAGGAGCTTAACGTTCGCCCCACACACAAACGCGCACACACACATACACACACACAAAACCTCAAGGAAAATCCGAATGGTGAATGAGGATGACACTTGGCGAGAATGACAACAGTGTAAATTAAATTAGATCCTTATATCATGCAAACAGTGGACAGCATCACTGCGTGTGCTGGGAGTATGGGGGAGGGGTGGAGGAGAGCGGGAGAGAGCGCGCGCTGTGTGCGTGTGCAAACGCGTGTGGAGGATTACAAGCCAAAGGTCGCAGGAAGTGTAACAGATGGAGCAGGCATGAATGGATGCGGCTGACGAGGAGCAGACGAAGTCCCAAGGGGGGGTGGGGAGGACAGGTGGAGTGATGCAAGAAGGCAGCAAGAAAATAAAACAAAATTAACAGTTCCAGCAAAACAGAAAAGTGGGGAGAGACGCTGGCAGCCTAAGTGGTAGGCTAGGCAGGAGACCGCTCGGAGGCAACGGCGCGGGCCGGAACGTGCTGCCCAAAGACACACCCGTCCCCCCCACCGGCGGGAGCAGAACCGGCTCAGTACCTGTAGCCGCGGTTCGAGGCCCGCGGCGGAATCCGGTAGACGCTGACGTCAGGCTTCACACACAGCACAGACTCGTATTCCAGCTCGGTCGCCATCTTGGCTCCGATAGCGCCGCGGGGGCGGAGCACGGGCGTGGGCGGGCTGAGCGGGCCGACGGCTTCCGCTGCGTCACTTCCGCTTGTGCTCGCCTTTGCGCTTCACCTCTGGGCGGCGCTAGTAAACCGGGTGCTGCTTAACCGTAGAAACGTTCATGGGGCGTGGCTTGCCGTCTTGAGTCAGGGCAAGTAGAGCACTTGTCTGCCAAGGCCTTGGGCTCGATCTCTAGCGGAAAATTAAAAATTAAAATTCAATTCTCCTTTAGCCAAAACAAAAAGAAAAAAATCACTGAAGGTAGAACAGAGGTTGAACAAAATGAATCTCTGCTTTCCCAGTCTGTTCTCATACTATAAGAAATTGTCCCAAGCACAGTCTAATAAATGTAACCTTTTACATTTTGTAGATTTTTTTAATTTTGTAGACTTTGTTAGTGACTCCATCATATTTAGAACGGGCCCCAATTACAGTGCTGAAAAGTTACTTAGCATTCCCCAGTATAAGAAGACTCTGATGTGCCACACACGACGAGGTCTGAGCAGTTCTGTCTACTAATATGTTCTTTGTGCGCCACAAATGTAAACTTTCAACACTACAACTTAGAAACCTTTTAGCTGGCAAAGTCCGCTGGTGTCAAAACCGAGTCTGATCTCGTTTTGTCACAAAAAAACACCAGTAGCAGTGTTCAGCATTTCCTTTTGACTACTTGACCTATCCTGATTTGTCTACTTTGCCTAGGAAATTCAATAAAACTTAAGACTTAGAAGCAGCTGGTAAGGATATGGAGACTTGCTACTCTCAAATATTGTTATCAGGAATATAAATTGGTCCAACACAGCTTTGAAGGGACGTTTAGCAGAACTGGTCCAAATATTAACTGTATATAACAACTGCACTATTTCTGGCTTGTTGATGTTTGTTTATTTGAGGACAGGGTCTCAATGTAGTCCAGGCTAGCCTTGATCTCATTATGTAGTAGACTTTGAACATCTAATCAACCTGCCACCAGAGTGCTGGAATTACAGGACATGCTACCACACTCAATTTTTTTCACTGTTTGGGATCTAATCCAAGGTTTCATGAGAACTCGGCAAGCATTTTATCAACTTAACTACACCCCCCTCCAACTAAAACTATTGTTTTCTATTTTATATACCTCTCCACGCTTTAAGAGTTTATAAAGAGAATACATGCACCCTCGATGGAGAATTTAAAAAGAGAAAGGACAGAAAAATGATCTATTACTTGTTTCCTATTTCTAAACCTGTGATCTCAACTGAAACCTAGGTCATGTGACACCTCCACCACATTGTACTCTTTCATTTCTGCTTTCTGTGTCAACAGTGCTGACAACCACTTACCAAGGAGCCTGGGCCCTAGTTCACCTTGTACATGTTTTTGCATTCTTTCTAGAGGCTTTCAGTGTCATATAGCTAACTCTTCCTAATCTTGCATTCCTTCTTGCAATATGTAAGACATGATATACTATAACCAGCAGCAGCTAGCTCCAAGAATTTGTAGTTGGATTATTATTTTAAAATCAACAAATATAACACACCATATTATTAGGAAAATAAAGGGAGGAAGAAATCTAACTCTTCTCTAAGCATGCCTGCGTTTGATCTTTACAGTAGACATGCGCTAGATTTTTAACTCAAAAGAACAACACTTTCAGTAGAGAAGAGGACCTGCAAGTGGATGAGTGGATAAAAGTACTTGCCGTGCAAGTCCAACAGCCTGAGTTCAAACCCTAGAGCCCCCTCATAGGACAGCTGCACGCAGCGAGGAGTCAGCTGGCCCTGTGCTTCACAGCACAGCAAAAGCAATGAGACGCTGCCTCAGGAAGGTGGACAGAGAACCAACTCTCGAAAGCGATCCTTTGTGCTTCACATATACACACACAGAGCTCACACATGCACACACACACCTCACACATGCACATACACATATACACACACATACATACACACATACATACACACCTCACACATGCACACACACATACACACACACCTCACACATACACACACACATACACACACACCTCACACATGCACACTAAAATTAAACAAAAACAAAAAACAAATAAGTGCATAAATGTGGAAAACATGGTATCAGTCATAGCATAATTCCATGGTATCTTTTGTTTTGCTTTGTTTTGTTTTTGGAAATTTTTGTTTGTTTTTTTTTTAATGTTTATTTATTTATTATGTATACAATATTCTGTCTGCGTGTATGCCTGAAGGCCAGAAGAGGGCACCAGACCTCATTACAGATGATTGTGAGTCACCATGTGGTTGCTGGGAATTGAACTCAGGACCTTTGGAACAGCAGGCAATGCTCTTAGCCGCTGAGCTATCTCTCCAGCCCCCCCCCCCTTTTTTTTAATGTTTAATTTTGTTTGTTTTTTTGAGACAGGATTTCTTTGTAGCCCTGGCTATCCTGGAACTCACTCTGTAGACCAGCCTGGCTTTGAACTCAGAGAAGTGTCTGCCTCTGCGTTCCAAGTGCTGGGATTAAAGGCATATGCCACCTAATACCATGGTGTCTTAATTAACAGTGGATAACATCAACATTGACCTAAAACGTAGCCATTTCTAGTCCTTGCACTCCAATACTGTGCTATAGCTATTGAGTCAGATTAAACTGGCCCAGCCGGAAACTCTCAGTTGACCCTCTCTAAATCTGAGGAGTAGTAAATTCGAACTGGTTTGCTTACCACTCTCAACCTCCAGAGGAGCACCTGGAACCTGAGGAGAGTTTAGCCCATGACTCATACTGACCTTATGACCTAGCACTGTGGAATTTAGGATTAAAGCCAACTCAGTCTTTGGAGAAAACATTATCAAGGCCTACTCCTCTGAAGAGCAAAGACTGTGTCCCAGTTGGGAACGCTGGCTTAATGTCCCAAATGAGAACCCTTAAGTTAGGATTCTGTTTCCTGATGATTCCAGAAAAAAACGTCATCTCGCTGTGCAGCAGCAATGGCGGGAGATGACGATGACTCAGAGGTTTGCAGCCATGATTCACCCTTTAAGAATCCCCATAGCAGGGACGTGAGGCATGTCACGAGTGCTAGCTGTAATTAGAAGAATACAGCACTAAAACTAGCACTTGCTGTTCACACTCGCTACAACCATTCCTTACTACACGATGAAACTGGTGGGGTCAGCATAGATGTTGCAGGATGAGTCATTAAGAAGGTATTTCTTTCCCGCATGATACTTACTCAGCGAACAGGATGCATCTCAAAGCCTCGATTGTCAGGGGAAAAAAAAATCTTTTAATATGTTTTTTATGCTTACGTGTTTACATGTGTGCGCATACGCGTATGTGTGTGATGGGCTTGGGTGTGGCGGTCACAGGATAACTTGTTAAAGTTACTTCTCTCCTTCTGGGTGGATACTGGGGATCAAACTCCAGTTCTCACACTTGGCAGCAAGTGTTCTTAACCATTGAGCTATCAGGCAGCCCTACAATGCAGCTTTTTAAATGCATGATGAGGGGCTAGAAAGATGGCTAAGAGATTAAGAGCACTGGCTGCTCTATCAGAGGACCTGGGTTTGATTCCTAGCACCTACACAGTGGCTCGTATGGCCTATTAAGAACTCTGTGGGCACCAGGTACACAATGGTACACAGACAAACAAAGGGAAAGTACCTATACACAGAAAACAGTAAAACAGTTTTTATAAAAATTAAAAATTTAGGCCCAAATCCAGGGCTTTGAGTTGGCCCACCCCACCCCAACATCTACCCCATCTATGACCTGTTGGAGCATGTGAAGGGACTGATCCTGCAGAACCATGGCTGCAGGATCTCCATGACTCTGGGCAATAGCAGGATATGCCAGGGGAGTTGCAGTGAGGGTTCAATATTGACAGTGTGCCAGAAGCCAGAGACTTTGAACCAGACCAACAACTCATTGCAGTGAATGCTTACAAGTAAAGCTGTCTGGAGAAAGGGGTACCTTGTATGATACACCAGAGCGCCCGACACCACTAAAACAAATGAAGAGGTGATGAAGGGAGGGAAAACGGGGACAAAGGGGTGTAAAGTGTGCAGTTTTTTGTTTATTTGTTTTCATTTTTTTATTTTCTTTTGGGAAGGGATGCTGCAGGGGTGAAGGGCAGATATAGGGACCAGGAAATGAGAGGGAATGGGGTGTATGATGAGAAATTCATAAAGAACCAATAAAAAAACTATACTAAATTAAATTTTTAAGCTTAAAAATTTAAAGCCAGTCATGGTGACACTAACCTTTTGTTGGTTTGGTTTGTGTATTGTTTGTTTGCTTTGTTTTTTGAGACAGGGTCTCTTTCTACATAGCTTGGCAGTCCTGGAACTTGCTATGTAGACCAGGCTAGCCCAGAATTCACAGAGCTCCTCCGGCCTCTCTCCACCTGACTCTGTCTCCTGAATGATGGGGTTAAAGAAGTGCACCACTATACCCAGCATTTTTTTAAAGATCTTATTCTTATTTATTTTCAATTATGCAAATGAATGAGTGTCTGTGTGTGTGTGTGTGTGTGTGTGTGTGTGTGTGTGTGTGTAGCTTCCAGCATCCACAGGGTGGCTCACAACCATCCGTACATAGCTCTAGTTCCAGGAATCTTCTTCTGACCTCTGCAGCCACCACACATCCATGTGGTCCTGAAGTGGAATTCCCTTCTGTATGCTGTGAATATGTTTTATTACCATTGGTTAAGAAATAAGCTGCTTTGGTCTATGACAGGACAGAATAGAGCGAGGCAGGGGAACTAGACTGAATGTGGGGAGAAAGAAGGCAGAGTCAAAGAGATGCCATGTAGCGCCAAAGGAGAAGTATGCCAGAGCCTTACATATAGGCCACAACCTCATGGTGATACATAGATTAATAGAAAAGGGTTAATTTAAGATGTAAGAGCTAGCTAGGAATATGCTTAAGATAACAGGCCAAACAATGTTGTAATTAATACAGTTTTGTGTGATTATTTGGGACTGGACAGCCAGGAAACATAAGCATAAGTCTCTGTTTACATGGTCCACAGAGATACATACAGTTAAAACATCAATACAGCAAAGTAGAAGGAAGGAAGGGAGGGA